CTCCAATCACATAGGTTGGGTTATCATCTTTATTGACAACATGTCGGCCTTAACCCCATCTCTTTTGAGGTTTGAAGAATTAATTTTCTTCCCACGGGTTTAGTCAGACGATCGGCCAAATTTATCTGTGACTTCACATAGTCAATGAAAATTTTTCCATCTCTTAACAGCTATTTATGATATCATGTCTTAGTTTCATGTGTCTACTTTTACAATTATAAGATTTATTCTTTGCTATAGCTATTGCCGCTTGTCAATCACAGTGTATAAACACCGGAGGCAATACGTCCTTTATTAAAGGGATATTAGCTAAGAAATTTCTCAGCCATTCAGCCTCAGAACCAGCTAACTCTAGAGCTACAAACTCTGATTCCATAGTCGATCTAGCAATGATCGTCTGTTTAGCTGATTTCCACGATATTGCACCACCGCCAAGGGTGAATACATAACCACTAGTGGATTTAGTCTCATCTGAATCAGAAATCTAGTTTGCATCATTATACCCTTCTAAAGTAGAATGAAATTCACTATATAGGATACCATAATTCATGGTTCCTCTCAAATATTCCATTAGTCTATCTAATGCAGACCAATGCTCTATATTGGGATTATGAGTATATCTACTCAGTCTACACAGAGCATAGGCTATATCAGGCCTTGTAAAATTCATTAAATGCATCAGACTCCTAATAATCTGAGCATATTTAGACTGAGCAACTGAGTCACCATTATTCCTTTTCAACTTAGAGTTAGCATCAAAAGGAGTGCTCACAAATGTGACATTAAAATATTCAAACTTCTTAAGAAGTCTTTCAACATAATGTTCTTGTGACAACATTATTCCATCTTCACTCCTTATAACTTTAACTCCCAATATTGTATTTACTTCACCCAGATCTTTCATATCAAAATTAGAAGACAAGAATAATTTAGTACTTTGCACAATATTTAAACTTGTATCAAGTATAAGCATGTCATCAACATATAAACATATTATCACATAATCATTGTCTACCACTTTAGTATAAACACATTTATCCACCTCAACTGAAGAAAAATCGTCTCTCAGTAAGACTTGTTCAAATTTCTCATACCATTGCTTTGGAGCTTGTTTAAGGCCATAAAGAGATTTAATTAATTTACAAACTTTATTTTCTTGTCTAGGAATGACACAGCCTTCAGGTTGAGCCATATAAATTTCTTCTTCTAAATCACCATTTAGAAAAGCAGTTTTCACATCCATTTGGTGGATAAAAAGCTTACGGATTGAAGTTAAGGCAATTAAAACTCGAATAGAAGAAATTCTAGTCACTGGTGCAAATGTATCAAAATAGTCTATATTTTGTTTTTGAGAAAATCCTTTTGCTACTAACCGAGCTTTATATTTATCTAAAGATTCATCAGGATTAAATTTTCTTTTGAAAATCCATTTACAACTAATAGGCTTTGCACCAGGAGGTAAATCAGTTAAAATTCATGTATTATTTTTCATAATGGAATCAATTTCAACTTTTATTGCCTCTTTCCAATATTTAGCATCTGAAGAAGATATAGATTCAAAATAATTTGATGGTACATTATTGACAAGAAAAGTTTGAAAATTATTTCCATAAGAAAAATATTCTTTTCTAGGCTTTTTGCTCCTTCTCAGTTCCTCATTAGAGGTAATTTCATTATTTGTTTCAACATGTTTATGAGAAATTTTATCAGATAATGGATAAATATATTCAAAGAACTCAACATTTTTTGTCTCAATTATAGTATTGTAATCAAGCACATTGCTTTTTAAAACAAGAAATCTATATGCAACACTATATTCTGCATATCCAATTAGCATGCAATCAGCAGTTTTAGAACCTATTTTTCTCTTTTTAGGTTCAGGCAAAAGAACTTTAGCAAGGCACCCCCACACTTTTAAATATTTCAAATTAGGTTTATAACCCTTCCATAATTCATAAGGAGTTTTACCTGTTCTTCTATGTGGTATTCTATTTTGTAAGTGACATGCAGATAAAATAGCTTCACCTCACAAATTATCAGGAGCATTAGAACTAACTAACATAGAGTTCATCATTTCTTTCAATGTTCTATATTTTCTTTCAGCTACTCCATTTGACTCATGTGAATAAGGCGGAGTTACTTCATGAATAATTTCATTATTTTCACAAAACTCATTTAAAGATAAATATTCTCCACCTCTATCTGATCTAATTCTCTTGATTTTTCTACTAAGTTGATTTTCAACCTCAGTTTTATAAGAAATAAAGGCATTAAAAGCATCAACTTTATTTCTAAGCAAATACAACTTAGTATATCTAGAAAAATCATCTATAAAAGGCACATAATATCTTTTACCACCTCTAGTCATAGTCTGCTTCAAGTTGCCTAAATCAGTGTGAATTAAAGATAACAATACAGTTTCTCTATTTACAGAAAAACAAGTCTTTTTAGTACTTTTGGCTTCAGCACATATGTCACACTTGTTAATATTATTTGAGTCTACGCCGATATTAATCCTAGTGACTGCATTTTCTTTATATATGCGACATTAACATGTCCTAGTCTAGCATGCCACAAAGAAATTGACTCAACTATATAAGCAGAAGAAGATGCATTTTCATTGCTAGTATCAGAAATATTAAGCATAAATAAACCATGGTTACAATATCCATTGCCCACAACAATTTCATTTTTGGTCAATACGACCTCATTTTTTTCAAATGAAACCTTCACTCAACTTTTCCTAATAACCCCATAGAAATCAAATTGGTTTAGATATTAGGAACATGCAATACATCACTCAATGCTAGAGTTTTACCAGATGTGAGTTTGAGAAGAATTTTTCCTTTCCCAAGAACGCGAGCTGTTCTTAAGTCACCAAGACAAATAAATTCTTCTCCTTCCTCAACTTGGGTGTAAGACAAAAATTTATTTTTGTTTGCACAAATATGCCTAGTAGCACCAGAGTCTATCACCCAATTTCTCACATTTGCCACATTATTTATTTGAAAAATGACCGCAACAATTATATTATCCGCTTTAGTCAAATTTAATTTTGACTTAGCGAGATTGTTATTTATCCAACTCTACTATTACATTGAGGTGCATTTTTCTTGAAGGTTTTAACATTAGCATTAGATATGTAACCATGTCTGTTCACATACCTGTGTTTGGACATTAGTGTTTGCCAAAGTTGTGGATGCAATGACGTATTTGCAACACCATGGATATCTGGCAGGATAGCTGGAACAGTAGCAGTAGAGACAACACCAGAATTGGTAGCACCATCAAAAATTTCCGTAGTAGTATTACTTGCCATAGTTTCTTAGATTGTAGGGAAATGACACCGGAAATAACAACACCAATAATAATACTGCAATAAAATATTTTTTAGCACAAATACACCAATTGGCTTGAGTCGTGCTGCGCACTGTCCTAAAAAACTATTTCAGCTGTGTGAAATATTTCTCCAGGATTAAACAAGCCTACCTCTATTAGGGAGGATACAGGAATCAGCAAAATTTAAGTATTACAAACCCAGCTAGAAAGAAAAAGGAAGACCAACTAATATTAAATATTAGTTAAATAATCTAGAAAAGAAATATGGAAGGAAGTGGAGAGAGAGAGACGTATGAATCATGAATGTCTTGCTTCAGATTGTTGAAATTGGTTTAGTGAGGAACATTTTTATAGGTAAAAAATTGCATGGATTTCTCTTGCCATTTGACAAGGTTCTTGACAAATGTCAAGACAACTACATGCTTGTTGATAAGCAAATATCCTTTTAAAAGGCCAAATAATTATTTTAAAATATTGCCACAGGATCATTTTTCAGTTAAAATAGTTTGGTCTGAAATAACTGATTTTTACGTCTTTGGCCATTTGGGGATGCACGACTGTTTGGACTGATTTGCACAAAGAGTCACTTTGTGAAATTATATTTAAAAGTTCAATCACTTCCCAAAATTAATCAGATCAGTAGTCTAAAGTTTCGAAAGTGGCCATCTAATCTGAAGTTTAAAGTTGAAAACTAAACTATAATTACGATATCTATATAAATAGATAATCGAATTCATTGTGTACTTTTCTTAGCCTGTATGCATAAATTATACATTATTTCGCGGCTATATAGATATTGAGAGGCGGACCCAGAATTTGAAGGTAGTGTGGGCACATGAGTGGACTGCTCAATCAACGCCCCAATCGGACTTTTGATCTTAAGAATTTCAAGCAAAAGATTATGACCGGTTTTTTTTTTTTTTTTTTTTTTTTTTTTTTTTTTTGTATATATATATACATATATATTTGGAATTTTAGCCGAGGTTAACGGGGTTCGTTGAGCCCTCTAATATATGGATAAGTCAGTCTCTGCATATATTATATATAGAATATACATATCCTATACATTTGCAGGCTATTTTTAATTTACGCGGTTGGATAAACGGCTATTTTGATTAATTCTTCGATATAATCCAGACCGCGGGTCCAATTTTGAAAAACAAAAGTAGCTGATTTCCAAATATAAGGTTACAAAAGTGGCCACCTCGTAGAAATATATCGTTTTTGGTTGGGTTAATATCTGCAAATTTATAGTGGAAATGACACCAGGTAGCCACTTTAAAGTATGTTGTTTAAAATGTATCCACAGTTTACAATATATTTAAAGATTAGCTAGTTTCGCTCAAACTTCAGGACATCGTGTCCTAAAGTTCCAAAATTGTGTCTAGAAGTTCGAATTTTATGTCCTGAATTTTAAATAAGTAGTTTAGAAATTCAAGACACTTAGTCCTAAATCTCAAATTAGCAGCTCAAAAATTCAGGATACTAAGTTATTTAATCCTAAAGTTTGGGTGAATTGGCTAATTTTTAAATACATTGTAAATTATAGTTATATTTTAAATAGTGGCTTAAAAGTGGCTATTGGTGCACTTCACCCAAATTTTTAACCTGGCATCTATGCTAATCTAATTTTCTTATGTATCATCCGGAAGTAATGTCCCCATTTCATTTCAAAAGGGCCAAGAATGACTATGGATTTGAAGGCTCTCTGCTCCATAGGAGGATGGGCAGTTTCTGTAATTTGCTTTAGGAACGTAAAGTCATATTCTTGGATTTGTCATGTGAGTTCTAATGCATAATCATTGTTCAATTGGAACTCAAGAATTACTAGCGTTCTTTTAAGAAAGGTGATGTTGAGACGGCACGCAACCTGTTCGATAAAATGCCCCAAAAGAGTGTGGTCTCGGAACTGTGTGATATCTGAGCATATCAGAAATGGGATGCTGAATGATGCTCAGTATATGACGCAATGCTAGTCAGAAATGTTGTTTCTTGGACGGCCATGTTAACTGGAGCTCCATCTAAGCAAAAGAAAACTACAACTTTTTAATGTGGTCAAATCTAAGCCAGAGCTCAGTTAGGTTTGAGGGGCATAAGTGCTCCAATAGATTAAAGGTAAGAATATTTTTGGGACCAAAATCACAGGGGAATGTAGTTGCTCTATTTTTAATAATCCAACGGCAATTTTGACCTTTTCCCCTTTGCTTTATGTACCTGCTTCTGTCTGTTTAGCCTTGATCAAACAATTAAAGACTATGCTGCTCAGATTAGGTGTGTGTCGGATCCTTCAAAGGTAATGCACTTTTGGAGGATCCGACATGGGCGCGGCAACAATTTGGAAGAGTTCGGGCAAAATTGATTAAAGATTAGTTAGAACTAAGTAAGGTAATTGTAGCAATACAGGATTTAGGAGTAGCTGCTACCTTTTCCTCGTGATCAAGTGAAACAACCATTGAGAAAAAGAATGCGACGTCTAAATCTTTTAACATAAGAAAAACTCACAGCAAACTTTAACAAGAAATTTACTCGTTCCACATGGAAAAGAGACAGACTCGTTTTTCTTTCTTTTTCTGGACTAAAATACTGTCAAACTTCCAACATATGGATCGTTTCAGTGACTACTCCCATGCCAAACAAAGGACCAAAAGAAGTTGAATTGGGCGAAGCCAAACCACTAAATACTAATGGAGGAGTTTTCTTGACATGGGAAAATCTGTGCGTGAAAAGTGGCGACAAAGCAATTCTTCAAGGTTTGACAGGCTATGCAAGGCCTGGGGAGCTCTTGGCTATCATGGGTCCTTCTGGCTCTGGCAAATCGACACTTCTTAACGCAATAGCAGGTATTTTCTTCGTTCCATTTTATGTGTCATAGTTTGACAGTTTAAGAATGTAAGTACTTTGGAATCTTGTGGTTTTAAATTAAAGACATGTATAACATATCGAAATTACCTGTTTGAATCTTATGATGTCTGAATTAAAAACTTACTAAATATAGAAAGAAACACTCTTTTCTAAAACAGACTAAAAAGGAGAGTATGATGCATAAATTGAAACAAAGTCGGTATTTCTGAAGCACCCCCACCTTAGCAAACTGGTGTTATTTAATTTTTATAAGTGTACTTATGTGAGCAGGGAGATTAGGATCCAACACAACACAGAGTGGAGATATTCTAATCAATGGCCGCAAACAAAGACTGGCATATGGAACCTCCGTAAGTAAAACTTTATCCTGTTTTGGAATAAATTACAGGGGGCTAACATCAAATATTCTCTAATTCTTGTCAAATACTCTACCAGCTGTGTATTATTTGTTGGAGATTTTCAAAAGGAGAAAGTGCTAGTGAGAAAGAATAGGGACTTTCTCCCACACTGATTTTAAGCATACATTCCCTATATTTCATCCCATCTGATGGCATTTGACTTGACACATAATTGATATTAAATTGACTTATATATCATAATCATGGAATATAAAAGTAACTGATGAAAAATTAGTTTAATAAAGAAAACATCACGTTTAACTTTAAATTCTAAATATATATATTCATCCTTATTCCTTTCATTAAGCTCAAATATTGTTATCATCATTAGCAAAATAAAAGAAAGTGCAAGTAAGCAAAGATAGTAGTAGTAGCAGTAGTGTACTACTACTACTACTACCTATATGACCTACTACTCTAAGACCTATTCCCAACTAGTAGGTATCACCTATATGAATTTTGCTCTTTCCGTTCTGTCCTATCTTTAGCTAGAGTCTGCATTGATTCCAAGGATTTGTAGGTCTTTCGAGACAACTTCCTTCCATGTGATTTTAGGTCTACCTTCTTCCCTTTTAACACCTTCCTCCACCATAGTTTCACACCTACGAATCGGTGCATCTGTAGGTCGACGCAGGAGATGACTAAACCATCTCAAACGGCCTTCTCTCATTTTATTCTCAATATGTGTTACTTGCACCTTCTGGCGAATGCGCCATTTTTTATCTAATCTAATCTTATGTGGCCGCACATTCATTTTAACAAATATTTCTGCAATACTCATCTTATGGATATGTAGAATTTTGGCCGTCCAACATTCACTACAATATAACATAGTTGGTGTTATAGTTGTTCTATAAAACTTACCTTTCATCTTGGTAGGCATCCTTCTATCATGTAACACCCTGTTAGCACTTATATATATGTATTGAATTCTTGAAGTTTCAAAAGGGTGTCAAATTTTTATATGTCCCAAAAGGAAAAGAGTGTCATATAAATTATGACAGAATAAGTACTAGCTTTATAGGCCAATTATGAAAGTAGAAGAAAAATGTATAGACAGCTGATAAAACAATGATCTTCATCTGCCGTTTTTAAATTATTTTGATCATTCTACTATAGTGCATAATATCTTTTGTAGGACGTTAGATTCTTTGATCTTCTCTATGGTTGCATACGATTCTAATCCTACATGTGCATAAGGTAATCATATTGTATCTCAGAAACTGGCAGGAGCGAATTTAACTTAAAACAAGATAGGTATAACTTGTCTTGAAACAACTTCTATTTCCTTTAATTATTTACAGTATGCATCCGCATCTCTAAGTTTTTTCTAACAATATTAGAGTTAATAGAAATAACATTTGATGCAATCAGGCCTATGTGACTCAAGATGATACTCTAATTGCAACACTAACAGTAAAGGAAGCCGTATACTATTCTGCTGAACTCCAACTCCCAAACTCCATGCCAAAATCAAAGAAAAAGGAAATAGCAGACATGACGATAAAGGAAATGGGGTTGCAAGATGCCATGGAAACAAGAATTGGAGGATGGAGCGGGAAAGGAATAAGTGGAGGACAAAAGAGGAGAGTCAGCATATGCGTGGAGCTTTTAACTCGCCCGAAACTTCTCTTCCTCGATGAACCAACTAGTGGACTTGATAGTGCAGCGTCTTATTATGTCATGCAAAGAATTGCACGCCAATGCCAAGGGAGAACAATCATTGCCTCAATTCATCAACCTGGTGCTGAAGTTTTCGGTCTATTTCATTCTCTATGTCTTTTGTCTTCTGGCAGAACTGTGTATTTTGGCCCTGCTAGTGCAGCAACTGAGGTGAGCATATAATTAGTTTGAATTCTCTAAAATTATGACTCGCCTTAAAATTTAAACATGCATGCCCAAATCAGTTGATTAGCCAAATTGATAACACTTTGTGTAAATTAAATGATCGTACTGCAGTTTTTTGCATTGAGTGGTTTTCCTTGCCCGACTCTCCAGAATCCCTCTGATCATTTTCTCAGAACAATAAACAGTGACTTTGATCAGGTCAGAATTGGGTTTTGATCTTTTTATCTAGTATTAGTTATACTAATAGAAGTAATATTGCTTCTCAATTGCGTTAAATGAAACTCATGAATTGGCTATTTATGAATAATAGGACGACATAGAAGAAGGTTCAACTAGGAGGCAACCAACAGAAGAAATGATAAATATCCTGATAAAGTCGTACAAAGCGTCCGAGAAGTCCGAAGCAGTTGAATGCCAAGTTGCTGAAATCTGCAAGCAGGTACAAAATCTGAAAAAACTCTGCATGATTATATTGCTCAGCACCTCCCAACTTACTTCTTGAAATGCAAATTCAATAAAGCTATTAGGAGAGGAAATAGAGAGATTTACTCATTAGTCTTTTGTGCTTCCCGACCATCAAAAGCATATACAGGAAGGTGAAGTGCTGGAGAAAAGAAGCCAGGCCGACTTCACAACACAAAGTCTTGTTTTGACAAAAAGATCATTTGTGAATATGTCCCGTGATCTTGGCTACTACTGGCTCCGACTAGCTGTTAATGTTACCTTAACTTTAGGTGTTGGAACTATCTACTATCATGTTGGCTTTTCCATTGCTTCAATTCAGGTAATTAAGCGAGATACACATGACATTTCCTCCTCTACCTGATGTTTTAAACTGCCAAATTAAATTTACTCTGTTTTACATGGTGAAAATTAATAGGCAAGAGGTTCCATGATTATGTTTGTGGCTTCATTTATCACCTTTATGGCCATTGGTGGATTCCCCTCTTTTGTGGAAGATATGAAGGTATAATACATATGTTTTGCTTTAACAATTTCCTTTTTTATATCCTTCCTTCTCATGCTAATAATAGGTTTCTGAAAACTATGAAAAAAATAGGTATTTCAACTAGAACTACTAAACGGTCACTATGGCTCTGGTTCTTTTGTCATTGCCAACACACTGTCTGCTTTGCCATACTTGCTACTGTTGTCTTTGATCCCAGGAGCCATTGCTTATTTCCTCACTGGGCTCCAAAATGGATTCGAGCATTTCGTCTACTTTGCTTTGGTCCTCTTTACCTGCATGACATTGGTTGAGAGCCTAATGATGATCGTAGCAAGCATCGTGCCTAATTACCTCATGGGGATAATAGCAGGAGCAGGAATACAAGCCCTTATGATACTAAGTGGCGGATTCTTTCGATTGCCAAATGATTTGCCTAAGCCGTTCTGGAAGTACCCTATACACTACATGGCATTTCATAAGTATGCTTATGAAGGGATGTTCAAGAACGAGTTTGAAGGGCTAAAAATTTGCGATGATCAGCACAATAAGGGTGAAATTCAAATGATCAACGGGGACGATATTCTGAGAGATACATGGCAAATTAAGATGGATTACTCAAAGTGGATGGACCTTGTCATTTTACTCGGGATGGTAGTTTTGTACCGGATATTGTTCTTGCTCTTTATCAAGGTTGGTGAAAAGGTTAAGCCAGCTATAAGATCATTCATGTCTATCTCGCCTTACGAAATCAATTCTGCAGAAAGACCTTTGGACGAATTTGCTTCCTAAAATATGTATCCTTTGTTTTTTTCATAACGATGAGACTTACTTGGGAGCACTTGCTCCTAAGCACCGGTCATGATCCTAAATTGGGTCGTGACAGAATATGTTCTTGAATTTATTCAAGATGTGAGTAATACTCAAATTGGCGAAGAATATGGGCCATGGGTTCCAAATATGAGTGTGTATACCGTCATTGATGATACATATGATGCTTATGCTACTTATAACGAGCCCGTGCCTTTCACAAGTGCAATCAAGAGGTAAACACATAAGTCTCCCATTGCTTTCGCAAACAAGTGGGGACAACCCCCAAAAAAGGAGTATTCCACGCGACAAAGTCAATAATCAATCTTTGTCCTTTAGACTATGTTATAAGTCAAGCAGGTTGCTGGAAATAAACATAGTTGAAAAGAAAAAAGAAAGTTATATATAAAGTACGTATAAGACTACTCTTAATTAATGATGTGAGAGGTTTTGAATATTGAAATCTATTGAGTGCAGATTGAACAGTATTTCGATGAAACTTTGTGTACTACAATAATGCCTAAGTGTTAGTTGTAAAGACAATAACTTTCGTCCATAAGTGAGAGGTGTCTTTTTCTCAATGAATGTATATTTCGTCCATAAGTGAGAGGAAATAGGTTGTTTTTATTACGTATAAATAGTTTGTTTGGCCAAGCTTCTTCAATCCTGAAAGTATTTTATTTTTAATTTTAAAAAGTATTTTTTTAAAGTTCAAGTGTTTAACCAAGTTTTTGAAAGAAAAAAAAGTATTTTTGAGGAGAGGCAGAAGTAGTTTTTGAGAAGCTGAAAAATGTAGCTTCTCTCCAAAAACACTTTTCTGAGAAACAGTTTTGAGGAAATAAACATAGAAGCAGTTTTCAACAGATTAGCCAAACCCTAATTACTGTTCAAAAGTGTTTTTCATATTAATTTGCCAAACACAAGGTACTTTTTTTAAAAAGTACTTTTGGAAAAAGCACTTATCAAAATAAGCTAATTTTAGAAGCTTGGCCAAACAGGCTATTAGTAGTAGTTTTTAAAAGCTTGGCCAAACACTAATTGCGGCTCAGAAGTGCTTTTAAAATTAATTAACCAAACACAAATTGCTTCTCATCAAAAGTACTTTTGAAAAAAGCACTTATCAAAATAAGCTGATTTTTGTAGCTTGGCCAAACAGGCTATTAATCTCTGCATTGTTTGTTTTTGGACATGAGTGATAAACATGCGGGTCAGGTCGAATATGGTTCGGATCGAAAATGGATAATGAAAAAACGAATCAATTATCTCACTAGATTCATATTTAATACGGATAGAAAAAGGGTAAACCAGCGGATTATATATGTAACCATATTATCCATGACTTTTTGCATATGATCACTATTTGGAGAATTCTTAGTTTCCCTAACTTGAGAAACCCCCAATTTGAGGCTTTACAAATGTAAAAGTTAGACCCATTAGGTATCCATTTGTTACCCATTGGTTATCTATTTTCTATATGGATAATATGATTCTTATTCATATTTGACCCGTTTTTAAAAGTTAATTATCCAACCTATTTTTTAGTGGACTATTTTGCAACCACTATTTCTGAATATCGGTTCTAACGGTTTTTCCTTTTCTCCATTAATATATAGCTGACTAGCTAATACAGGTATAAAATGATAGATAACTAATATGTTTTAGACCACAAAAGAGAAAATCGCACATAAATAATAGAGTCTGTTAATTACGTACACAAAAAGGCCTCTACTAATACCTTAATTCAAATTAGCAATGCAATTTGAAATTTGGGTTGCTGTATTTTATATTAAAAGAAACATCACTGTGAAAACAACCTAGCTACAAACTCTCATTCATTCATAAACTGAAGATGAAAATTAATTCTCAAATCAAGCATTACTAGAAATTAATTGTCAAGGTGACTATCCTCATATTTTCACGGAGTCAACAAGCAACGAGGTGATTTTGTCTTTATATTCGCCTTGAGTATTTATAAAATCATTCTCCTGGAAACCAATTACCAGGCGCGTAGGATTTATAATTTGTTCGAGGCCAAACATTGATACTTGAGAAGGGCGGAGGAATTCCGTGTTTATATCTTTCCATGCATTAGCCATTTCCTTTTCAGCCGCAGCATATGCTTCTTGCTTTGAAGCTCCATATTCTTTCATGTAGCATTCAATGAATGAAGCTACATGTCCTCTTTTTTGCTCAAACTGCACCCAATAGATACATTTTCATTATGTTCAGTGTACAACTATACAATTACAACACTGAGTAGGTTTGATTCATTCAGATCTTGTACAAAGCCTTTGAATTATTAAGATGTTGTTCATTTATACTCATGCGAATTTGATATTTTACCACTATTTATCTACCCACCACTATAGCACAATCACCATCACCAGCCTCCACCCACAACAAACACCGCCAACAGTGGCGTTGCTAGGAATTTCCCCATGGGTATTCAATTGAAAAAAGCTAAGTGAAATTTTTTTTCGATAAAGAATGTTCAATATGCCTCTAAAACATAATATTTTACCTATATACACAGTGTAACTTTTCGGCCCTTATGACCATGTGGCTTTGCCCTTGCCGCCATACCACTAACCACCACACAACAAAACCAACACCATCAATCCCCTCCAGTGCCAAATATCACCACCACTCCCTCTATTGTCTATCTAGCAATCATCTTCATCAACCACCATTAGCCACCATGCACCTTTATTGTCAACCAACATGCACCACCTACCACGACAACTCTCAACCACCACTATGTATTTGTATCACCGCCATTTAGATATGTATTCAGATTCAGATACGCATCTTATTTTTAAGGAGAAAAAAGAGAGGCCTAAATGTAAATTAAATTGTAGTACTTACAACGTGTCCAATAATGTCGTCCTTTAATCTGCTTATTACTCCAGAAGTTCGAAGAATCAAAGGATCATTTATCACCCATTCTAAAGTTTCTTTGGTTATAAGTTCCTCCAAACAAACCAAAGAAGTTACTGCAATCAGCGTAATGCCAACACTTACACTTCCGTTTTCCAAATACTCATCACATTTTGGAATATAGCCAGCATTCAACCATTGGGCTTCCTTGAAATAGGCTCTGATCCACTTTTTCATCTAAGAAAAAATAATGAAAAAAGTAAAACTAGATAATGAGCACACTATATCTTCTTTTGATGACCTCGTTGAAATAAAGTGAGTGATCATCCAAAAAAATTTCTTCCTCACCAACCTTTTTTTATTCCTTGTAAATTATTTTCAAAGATTAATGAGGTTGAGTTATTAAGCAAGCTTACCTCAAATTTTGCATAGTAGACACGATCTGCTTTACCTTCTTTTGCCAGTTCTTGTCCTATTTCATTGAAAAAATCTACTAAGACTTGATAAGAGGGTCTCAAATTGACCGGTACTGAATCAATGGCACTAATGTCCAATCTGCACGTTAAGATTTTATCAAAATGGCCAATTAATATTTACGTCTACAACGTATCTTTTCTGAATAATAACGTGCATTTGATACACAATACACTTCATTTTTCATTTTATGTGAGACTATTACTGTTAAGACAGTTGAAAGAGAATTTTCTTTGACCATGATTGTTTCAAATCACTACGAGTGTAAAATGGACGGGTTGGGCCGATTTTGGGCTAGTCAAAATAGGTTAAGTCATAAATTGGTGGATCATTGACTAGCTGAAAAGTTACTTGGGCTGACATGGGCTGAGTAAAAAATGAGCTAAAATTTGAATCATAGCCTAACCCACCACCCAATTCTTACCAAGCTTTAATTAAGGTTGTTTTCTTATGAATTGTATAATTACTAAATAAGATTTGTTTTCTTTTGTATAGTCATATACAACATATCAAACAAAAAAAATATTTCTAAGATATTTTAACAAAGCTACTCATGGATCAATTTGTGCTAAATATCAGTTCAACTTTTAATGGGTTGGACCAAAATAGACTGAGTTCAATAAATGAGTGGGTCAATAACCCGCCCAACCTTCATTTAGCTTTGGGCCAAATGTGACAGCCTTACGAATCACCAACAATTATGACTTTATATATGTACTGTTTAAATAGCTGAACTGTGTTTTATAAAATACGTGATGAATATTATATAAGTAGTTTGATTCTCGTAGTTAGGGTTGTACGTAGGTCGGGTTGGTTCGAATTTTCTAATAACCAAACCAAACCAATTGTATTGGGTTATTAAATCTAAAGACCAAACCAAACCAATAAATGTCGGGTTTTTCAATCTCGGTTTTTCTCGGATTTTTCAGGTTTTCGGATTTTCTCGATTTTCTTTCATAAAGTCTTCATAACACAAAATATAGAATTTGTGCTCCAAATACTTCTTTAATCGTAGTAAGATAGAACTATATAAGTTGTTTTTCAATAAAATAACATAAATGTGAGATGAGTCATGGCATTGTACTGAAATATTCAACAATAAAAATAATAAAATCGCATAAAATAAGTATTATTTATAAGCCATAACGAAAACAAACATAATTTAAAATTACTAATTAAGTTGCTAAAATAAGTACGACTAATAAGTACTATTATTTACATGACTAAACACTAAAAGAAAAGTAAGTTATGCATTTTATATATCTAAATCACTGAAAAACTAAAGAATAAATATCCAACACTATTTTCATTCATAGTACAATTGAATTTAATGTCTTTTATTAACATTAGTATTGATTTAATATTGGTTTAGGATTTATTTGAGTTACTAACATTTATGAAGTATAAAGCCTATTGGAGCATCCAACTATTATAATTCCAAACTTGAAATAATATGTGAAAAGATAAAATGATGAAAAAGCTTAAGAAATATTTACAAACTACACTACAATAAATATTTTATGTATTAAATATATTTAAAACTTCTATACATATAATACCGGGTTGGTTTGGTTTCGGTTTGACTTTTTCTAGTTAAAACCAAACCAAAACAAATATGATCGGATTTTTTTTTCCAACATCGAACCAAATCATAGTCAGTTTTTTTTTCTCGTTTTGACTCGCATTATCGGGTTGATGCCGTTTGTCGGTTTCATTCGTACACCCTTACTCGTCGTCCAATTCCTCCGGACATAAAATAGAGCGGAGGGAATAACATTCTTTTTCTACTCAATAATGAGACAATGACAAGGGTTAAATAAGATTATACTTTACCTCTGCATCGCATCCGTGAAAGCCACAATTTCGTCAAAGGTTGCATAAGCATCAAAAGTATCATCAACCATGGTTATGATATTGATTAATTTTCCTAAAATTTTTCTCGTACGACTATATTGAGGCTCAAATAACACTCCCACTGCCCCATAGTAACACTCCACCAATCTGTCTCTTGCATATGGAAATTTGTTTGCATAATCCAGATCTTTCCACCAGTACCTATAGTGCAGATTAGTAATCAGTTAATTTTTGTATCTCATTACATCCGAAGAAGTACAATATTCATGTCATATCGAAGAGGTTAAGACTAATGAGTACCTTGTAAGCTCGTAAAGCTCGCTTTGGTACACCTTTTGCACAATGTTAAAATCCAATTTTGCAAATTTCAAAAGCAAATCATTATGTGATTCATCGTTCTCATACAGAGACATGTATGTCTTTGCTCCAAATCTTGGTAGATTAATATGAACGGGCTGACTTAAGGCTTCACTAATTTGAGACTTGAGTGAGTTGCTCAATTTAGGGGCCATGGACTTTAAATGAGAGATGGTAAAATTCAGACCTTGTTCAAGAATTTCTTCCCCATGTACTCTTAGATGTGCTGCTTCATACAAACTTAATAATCCTTGTACATCTTTGGTAAGAGTTTCCTTGAACTTTCCATCTTTGTTGGTGAATTTCTTGAACACATCTTGTTTCATGTCAAAAAAAGTAAGCTAGTTAACGGCATACTGTTGGTTTTTTAAAAGATGGGGCAACAAAAATATTAAAAGTGTTGATGGAGAAAGTCTCTCAATTATTTTATTAAGTATAACAAGGCTTTAAATAGCCAATTTAAGAACAGAATCTGCAGAAAATCAGGAGAATAAATATTCAAATTAGAAAAACCTAAACTATCTCAATTAACTTATCCTATTAAATTTAAATTTAAACAAAGACTCCTCATTCGACTTAACTACTTATGATTCTGATAAATCAAATATCAGCAGTAACAAATGCAAAATCCAACACATACCCTCACATGAGGTGCGTGCCGAAGACATAATTTAATAAATAAGTATATATATATATA